CTACTTCAGTATCTGTTTTCCATTGAATGGAGACATGGCCCATGTAGGCCAGCGCAGATGAGGGTTCCAATTAATTATTGGAACCCTCAGATATGGGGGAATGCTAAGCAATGAGCGTAGGTAGCGGTTGGATTGGTACCCCAGCCGATATAGATTCTTTGCGGTATTAATCTAGGGACCTAGGTAAGTAGGTATGATGGATGCGAGGCGGAGAGATGGAAATGAACGTCGTGCTTTGACCATGTATGTAGGAAATATGTTGTCTACGGCGACTAGTTAGTAGGTACATCAAAAATGGATGCAAGTAATTCGAGTCATAACCGCGTAGTGGGCGCCTCAACCTGGGGAGTTGAGTTGACAAGGGAGCAGGTTCTTTCCCTCTCACCGAAGGAGTCAGGTCCCGGGATAAGTCATACGAAGAAAGGGCAGATGTCGGATTTAACGGCCCTGCTTCGACTTAATTCACTACTTACTGTTATCACCCAGCGTCTCAGCCTCAATTTTCCAATAAAAGATCGGGGTAAATAAAATATGGATGTCAGCTGAGTCTGCCTAATGTATTCGTGACTCCAGTCCGTACCTAGGTACATGTAGGTGTATGTAGGCACCTTGACCGCGACACTTTGAAGGCGCTTGTACAAGCCGTGCATTTGCAGCTTTTCGGATGGATGTGCTGTAATGATAGGTCGCTCGAGAATACGTCACTACCAATCAATTCGACTCAAGCCGTCTACTCATGCAAATTAAGCAAATTATCTGCCCAGAACTTCTTGGCATCCATGAAAATTAACTTTATCGAGATCTCCTTCACTGGCATTGACTTGGGAACCTGTGCGTGTATTAATCGCACATATTGCAGTCAAATTATCCATTCTCACGAAATAACAGTAGTCAATAGTTTCATTAGCTCCGTCCACTAGTATACTATTACACTGTCCTAGACAATCTCAACGTTGTCTGGAGAGGAGTGTTTCCGTTCTGCCTCTGGTATTCATATCAAGTCAAGTCGCATAATGACCGACCCCATAGTTCAAGTCCAATCCTTTGGAGACCCAATTTCACCTTCACCCTTGGTTGATCGTCAGTCCTCCGCGACAACATCCTTATCCGAAATCATCCACCTTATTTCTTGCGGTTTTGCTGCATCATCAAGATCTGGACCATCCTGATGAAGATGTTCAAGAAGTCCAGTTCGAGCGAGATACTCTCGTTGACGGGGTCCTTCTTGATGATACCTCGCTCTGCCATGCGTGCGTGGTAGAGGATCTTCTGAACGTCGTACAGCGTGAAACCACCAAAGACTGCTAGACCACCGTACAGCCAGATGTTCTCCGTGAGTGCCAGAGTTCGGGCGGCCGTCGCTGGGATGACAAGGGGCGCAAGGCCCGAAACGGCAACGATGGCGGCGCCAGCTAGGAGCGGGCCACCAATGTACATGTACTTCTCCTGCTTGGCGGTAGCGCCGACGAACGAGATGGAGCCCATCATCGCGATAGTGTAGAGACCGGCGCGGGCGATCAGAGCACCAGGTGCGAAGGCGACGAGAGGGGCGATGAAGGCGGCCTGGGTGGCGTTGAACGCGGTCCAGAGCGCATACTTGGGAACGTAGCTGTTTCATGTTAGCTTTTATGTCGAATGAACTAAGGTGATGAGGCACTACTCACTTGTCAGGGTCTATGGCTCGGGTTCCAAGCATGGTACCAAAGCTCAGAGCCAGACCACCGATAGCCACAACCCACGGATTCGTCACCATTATTCTGTAGACGAAACCACTCTGGACCATTTGTCGCGCAGTGAGACCGATGATACCAATGCCGAGGCCGGTATGAAGGAAGGTCGAGTTCAAATAGGATCGCTCAAATGGTGGCATGCCACCATCTTCTCGCGTTTCGCGGTTGAAGACAGCATTGATTGCGATGAGGGTACCACCGAAAATTGCGCCACCGGTGAGCAGTCTGCGGAGCGTCGAACCTGAGTCTACCGCGGGAGCAGGAGTCGGCTGCATGTAGGTTCTTGATTGGTTGGCGAAGGCATTCTTCGGTGTCGTTCGCAGGAGCGTCGATGTGGCTGTCGCCCGCGATGTGAAGAAGTTGGATTGTCTGCTGGATTGATGGAATGCTCGGATGGGAGCTGTGGATCGGAAAGAAGCTTTCGTTAGCTCTGGTAGTCTAGGTGCGAGGCGTGTAGGCGCCTGGCGGAGGGTGATTGTGAACGACATTATGGTGTTTGGCGTATGGGATTAACTTTTTAAGGTTCACAAAGGGAAAAGAAATTGGTCAAGTCGAGCGAAAACGATGTTGTAGAGGAAGAAGCAATGCGAACGATGACGCCGGTTTGATATTCCCGTGCAAGTGGCTGATGTAATAGGCTGCCCGCTACTGGTGCGAAAAGCCAGGTGGTAGGGTGGAGGCGGGAGAATGAGCTGGAAAGAGCCGACCAATTTCTATCCGTGCGTAGCCTCTTAACTCCGTAGCCATTCCGGCGGTCCGGTAACCCTCCAATAGAAATTTCCCCGCAGGTGCATTATGTAATCGGAGAGACCCTACGAACTTATCCGACGCAACATCGCATCCTTTCGTTCACTACCTAAGGTATCGAGTACATGTACGCACGAGTGCGAGCAGGCTCTGAGACTGATTCATCAACAGGCATTCAACGAAGCACGTAAGTCTATATTAACGATCCGAAAGAAGGAGTTCTGTAAAATATGCTGCCGGCCATCTGATGGATGTTTGCGGGTGTGTCCGAATAATCATAGAACTATGAGTGAGGATTGATATCTTCTTGCCGTCGCTCCGCTCAAGTACTGGTGTTTGTCACAGTTTGGTACGATACGCGTAATGGCACCGGGCGCTACGCCCTCGTCCTAGGAGGCTGTGAAGTCAGCCCCGTTACATAAACTTCAGCTAGTCACGGGAGAAAGCTGGCGCTATTGTCTGTTCCTGGGGATGTGTGGCTTCACAATTATTATTGCTTATCTGAAAATCGGATACAAGGCATGATGCTCAAATCTTATTTGGTTAGTTTCTCCTCCATTTCCAACGGGACGAAGTGTAAAATCCCATATCTTACGAGCTTCACTGCTTTGTATGCGCAGCCGAACTAAACTAGCAAATCTTACCACAAGCCTCCTGAGTTAATAGTATTAAGTTTTGCCCTGTCTCCGGCTTCTAATAGCATCTATTTCCATCATCCTCAAGTACCTAATATAAATATAAGATGGGATCTCAACATAGCAGAGCAGAATCTCTCACTTCTAATTCTTCGAGTAATTCAATGCGACAACCCTTTCCATCACCCCTTCCATGACGGCGCTTGAAATGGATAATTTACACAGTGAAGGACTTCTCGAGCCTGAAAACGATGGCTTCATTCTGGTAGAAGCCCAAGGCGGTTCCTTATTCTATCCTGAGATAGATGGCAATTCTTGTCCGAACTGTGTAAAGAGACGTGACGGGAAGTTGTGCTGGAGATGCTGGCTTAAATTAAATCCTCGTCGTGACTCCGAAAAGCCCACTGAGGCCCCTGAAGAACAACATGCGGGACCCTCCACAGAACTTGTCTCGGACCAATTCTGGTATCAGCAGCCTCCGGACATGCTCGCTGGAGAACGACAGCCGGATCCTTTGGGGCTGCTTGGGTCACAGGCATGGAACCTGTCATCGCCAGACCATGTACTTATGGACCACGACGAATCAAGCGATAATAGTGACATTGACGACGACAGCGACGCTTCTGATGATGATGATGATGACAAGTACGAGGACGACGAAGCGCTTTATTACGAAGAACGCAAAAGTAGAGAGTCTGAGGAGCAGGAGAGAACAAAGCCCGATAGATGCGAGGAGACACCATATGGCACGCCGACGGAAACGTTTTTCAGTGTTTGGAACGAGAGCCGCGGCGAACAGACGAAAGTTGAACATCTAGAGTCGAACATAAAGCAGCACAGCGAACAAAACATCAAAAGCTATTACACCTGGCTAGAAAGATACGCCAAGGATACGTGGAGCCTCTATAACCTTCGAAGTTGGGGGAAATGGCTGCAGCAGTGTGTAGTTCGGTTGATAAGGCCCGAAGTCGACCTCGACAATACACGCTCTGGGACTGAAGTTTGATCTTGCTTATTTCGGCAGGCGATCTCGAACGCCCGTTCGGCTTCCCACGTGGAAGGGCAGTGCTGTATACCAACACTGCGCTGTGGGAGTAGAGTGTATTCGATATTATGGAATACCATGGAACGCATAACCCGATGATTCATACGATACTCATCTGCGTTTCATTCGTTGGGTTTAGTTACACGGGAAACAAGACATATATGTCTATCGTTATAGGATGATTCGGGCATGGCAAGTCTCTTGATCGGCTACAGAAGAGCTTTGTTGGCTGCAGCTGCCCTATGTACATACATCTGCCCTAACCTTTCTTCACCTAGACAAGCTTGAGCCTTTCGCTGCACATTCTTGAGAGAAGTTCGGTTCTGTATCCGGACCTAGAGAAAGCCGGGCCGGGCCGGTTGCCAAGTTCGGCCCCGAGGCACGGAGACTGAAGAATAACTCGGTAACGTTCGGAACGGATACGCGGGCGTGTTCATGCAATTGTAAGGAATCCGCCCATTCCTGAAGGGATCAGGCGCTAATGCCACCTAGTATTGCCACATCACGTCCTCTCTAAACGCTTATAAGTATTGCGAATAACTTCAATATCTCGCTTAGGGTTGTAGAAAGGGATAGGCGCGAGGGGTCCAGATACTTGAATACCCATCCCAAGAATGGGCACAAAGCCTCTTCCGAGTTAGACTCACCGCGATTCAATTCTGTTTGATTGTGTATTCGCCGACACTCTTCTCTTTTCTTAAGCATGTAAGATGTCAATCTTCCAATATCTCTTCTACCGCGAATATTGTCTCCGGGTAAAAGCCGGGTTATCCAAGCCAATCCGCAGATGGCCGAATAGCTTATGGATATAGATGCATACTAGCCGGCCAATCATCAACGAATGTCTTGGTGGCTCAGTTGGTTAGAGCGTTGGTCTCATAGAAATATGATTCAACCTAAGGTTGGGCCATCCAAAGGTCGTGAGTTCGAGTCTCACCCAGGACACTATGATTTCAAATCACATTTTTGCCGTTTTTCCATTCAATACCAACCTGGTACCTTAGTCGATGTCTCTTTTTGGGTACAGCTGTGCTAACTTTCGATCGTTCTGTCAATTATCTTCGTATCAGGTATGATAAGAGTTGTCAGAGATGTCATCCATGTTAGCAACGCCCGCCGACACTCAGTACAAGCTCAGCAATATATGGCTTGGAACTGTTATAGGACAACTTATCGTGTATCGATATATACGAGGTTCTGTTTAGTTGGTAATGCGGTTCGAGTTATAGCCCATTAGAGGCGTCAGAAGAAGCAATAGATAAGCAACGCAAGTCGAAACTCCCCCCAATGCAGGCCTAACCGCTCGAGTGCGAAGTAGCTAAGCCAGTGTCGGCCTGACTCGTAACCTTGGATTTAAGCTAGATTGGTACGGGTAGAAAAGTGGACGACGTTACATCATACAAGGCTTCGTATTGTTATACTTGAAGCCTTGGGGATTTCTGGCAGTGTTCTAGAAGCTAAATGTGGATATTTGCTTCTGGCAATACGAGGGGCGCGCTCGAATAGGGGCCATCAATTGAATCTGCAGCTTCCCGTTGCAGATCAGGATACCAATAAATATATTGACACACAGCTTTGCAGATGTTGAAGTGAATTTCTTAGATCCAAGGATTATATGTAGTATTGCGGAACTCATACCGCAACCTCGATGTCGGCATTCGGACTGCGCTCAGATACTCGCCTGATTTGAGATCCGGGTCTGATGAAACACTGTGAGTGAGACTACCTGAGGTATGTAGCTCCTAAGTAAATGCTACATGATCGTGGATTACCAATGCGTCCACTAAGCACTACGCTATGCACGACACTCTGAGCGGGACAGATGGTGGGGGAGTTGACGCTAGAATTCTTCTCGAAGCCCGTGAGGAATCAAACGGGATTCTTGGCCGCGGGGTGGACGAAAACCCCAAGACTCGCAAGGGTTCTGGTGAGACTGGCTTCTTCCGTATGGTAGCATTTACGCTGGGGCGAAGGGGTGATGGTGTAACCCGGAGGATCGCCGACGAAGATTTTGGACAGCTGTCCCGAATATAGTAAGTTGTAGCGTCATGGTCGATATTGGAGGCTGCTTATGAACCAATTCTGGTAGGTTATGATAAGAACGCTGCTCGATGACAGTGTCGAGTTATCAAATTCTTTTTCGATTCCCGTGTCGAGTTTCTAATGCCGTCCCAATGTCGATAAACGGGCTTAGTATCTCGCGGTCGACTACCCCGAAGAATGGCAGGCTGCCTCTTGTCGTATGCGATAGCAAATTTTCCCACGTGGCTTTGCGCGGCAGGTAATCGCTACACGAGACGACCCCAAGGTGTATGGGATATGTACAGATCCTAGCTCCGAGTTCTCCGTGCTATCTTCCTGTCTTTTTGCCTTTCCTCACTCATTTTCAATATTGAGTGTATAAATAGATCCCGAGAAGGCTGCATTTAATTAGCAGTTGCCACGCTTACTCGTTTATTTGAGGTTGCCGGTCTATCCCAGCGATTGGTATGGTGCCTGTTTCAGGAGAGTCAGCCTACAGGAGAGCGAGTCCACTCGAATGCAGTCTTACACACAACCTCCGCTGTTTGAAGCACAGGATCTCGAATAGCGGAAGATGCTTATTCGCTCTGCCGTGCCAGAGTATTATGGGTGATGTCATGTTGCGAATAATTACAGCGGCTTATTTGACGGCACACTTATTTTCATACGCCCCAACCGGGCAGAGAGAGAAAAAGTTCGCGTACTCCGTAGGTCAAGTAGCAGCCATGTTCCCTTGTATCGCTTATGGCTTCTCGGCTATTACCGTTTCTCATCATAATGCTATGCTATTCAAATTAGTATTGGAAGAAAACCGGTGTTCTAGAGTTGTTTAAGGCTAAGGATGGTACTGCTACCCCTGACCTGTCGTGGACCTACAGTTACTAAACTTAGTAACCAGTAGCCATCGTCGAGAGCGGCCCCAAAGAAACCCGAGCATGTGGAGGGAGGGTTTCGTGCCATTATGCGCCCCGTGCTGAAGCTCCTCGCCCACCAAGAATCTACAACGCATCATTGTCCTGGAAGACGAGACAGGCTAGCACTAGACGAGACAAGACGAATAGCAGTAGGCAAAAGTCGATGAAGAAACCAGGTTCCGCTCCCACCCACACTTCGGGGTAGATCTGCATCAGCTCGAAGTGTGTGTCTCAAACTCTCGTCATATTTTTTTTCTGGCCCTGGGTGCCCTGGGGCCTCGACGCACACCATTTTCGACTGCCTCTTCCGCGCCTCTCTTCACTGACGTGCTATCAAGTAATAGTACCTTAACCCACCAACAACCAACAGCAGCTCCATCCGTACCGGGCTGCGGTTCTCTGCAGCCGAACGCGACAAGTTGCGTGCAACAAAGAGGCAACGTCTCGCATACATGCACATCATAATTTAGGGCTCTCGCACCGAATAAAGTTTTCATCGTGTTCCTGGGTTTTGCTCTTCATCCACCTGAGATGTTTGCCGCTGCCATTGTTGTTGTTTGTAGTCCTAGTCAGCGTCACCCCTGAAAGGACGTAGATCCCAGAATACCTAATCCGGACGTCCCTCTCATCTTCTCACCTCCAATTCCTACGTACGTTGCGCACCATCTGTCGCAAAGACGCGTGTCTACGAAGTAACAGTCCTCGGTAAATGCTTGAGCCTCGTCGATATCGGGCGTTTCGGGTTGACAGCCACCAACTTGTCTCCGCGCGCCTCTTTGCCCTCTCCGCCTTTCGCTGCCATTACCGTCCTTGCGGGGGTGAATTGAGCTTCAAAAATCCTACGCACTGGCCGATTGGGCGTCCGAGTGAATGTGAGTTTTCAGATTGGGCGACGCGACTTGTCCTAAGCCGCATTGCGAAAAAAAGCAAGACGAACTAACCAAGCTTCACCTACGGCTAGACTCATTTTTGAACGACTCCCGTTAGCAAACTCCACGATCCGTACGATTCCTACCTAAGCACGCGACTGCGCTGCCCCGCCATGTGCATTGGTCAACTGGCGTGAAAGTTCTCCATTATCTCTCTAGAGCACAAATCGAATCGGCCTTGTGTAGTCCTACTAAACGACGCCCCGTCGTCTCTAGCGTCAGAAGCTCGACCTCACACTCTTAGTTCCGACACCTCCTCTAGCTCCCGTGCTTCCGCTCTGGTTTCAAACAAGATCGACGCTCTCCACAAGACATATTAATGGTGGCATAGAGAGATCCCCCAAACCCGCAACCCCGTCTTTTGGCGCCGCTGTATTGGGAACCCACGATTTCGGCAGGCTATAGCATGAACCGTTCCTTGCCTAAAGTGCGATACGAAGCTTTCCCCTCAATTTAGAGAGCTCCACGGCGGCCTCAAGCCCAGTACCCACTATCAAGGGGGGAAGGAGACTGTATACAAGTGTCGAGATCTAGAGATCTGAAACTGGCACGATAAGAATCAGACATAGCTAGGCTTGACGCCAGGGCTCGCAACAGCAGCCATGAGGCGGAACAGAGTCCCGCACTCTCCGCCCTCGCCCTATAGGGCCCTGGCCCACCATCCGGCTAATGGCCAGCCCGCGGACTCGGTCTCTCTGATTAGGTCATTCAACAGCGAGACGAACCCGACCCGGCCGATACGTCCCTCCCCACTCACGGCTTCGACCATCCCTGACATGCCGCTGGACCTGCTCGATCGCATGAGGTCTTTTCCGCTCTTCATGTCAGCTCCTGAGGAGTTTCTAGTTGCTATCGGCAAGCATCTAAGGCCTCAGGTCCACTCCGCACACGATCACATCTTGACCGAGGGCGACGAAGCAAAAGCGATGTATTGGCTAGTGCGTGGGGTCGTAGGCGTGACCTCACGCGACGGCGAGGCCGTATACGCTGAGCTCAAGCCGGGCGCTTTCTTTGGTGAAATAGGAGTGCTTATGGATATGCCTCGAACTGCAACTATCATTGCGCGCTCGAAATGTCTTCTGCTCGTCCTTAAGAAGGAGGACCTCCAACGGGAGCTGCCCAGATTCCCTGATATGGAGAAGGCCATTAGAGAGGAGGCGCACGAACGTCTAACAATACTTAACAAGAAACGTCAGGAGAGTGGCCATACTCTCAAGGTTGCAAAAGGGTCTACAACTGCCCGAGAAGCTGTTCCCGGCGAAGTCTCTACAGGGGAAGTCGGCGTTATCAAGGAACGGGTTGTAGTGAACAAGAAGAAGAGGAAATCCCCAAGTCCGGGCGTGCTCGAAGACCCGACCGCCGGTAGCGCGTTAGGAAGCGGCCTCGTGAATGTGCGGCAGACGCTTAAAGAGCTCCCCCTATTCTCGACGCTGCCTCCCGATATCCTTCACTTCCTCGGGATGAGCGCACAGCCCAAGACCTTCCCCCCCTTTACCGACATAATCCGCCAAGGCACCGCTGGGAATGAGATTTACTTCATAGTGCGCGGCGAGGCCGAGGTGATTCACGAGCCGCCCGAGGGCCAACCGCGAAAGAGGATAACACGATCATCCCTAATACGGCCCCGCCTAAGACAAGGGCAATATTTCGGAGAGGTGGCTAGCTTGGGTCTATCGCTTCGACGTACCGCAACGGTAAGATCCATCACTGCCGTCGAATGTCTCATGATTAGCGGTGAGGCTCTGGACGAGCTATGGAAGCGGTGTCCGCCAGACATCAGGAAGCAAGTTGAAGACACGGCGAGAACTAGGATCAGACCGAAAGATGACGATGTTGAGATGACAGACGCTGAGCTGTCGAACAGCGATACGTCATCCCCGTCGACACCTACACGTTCCACTCCACAGGTCACGTTCACCACACCCTCAAAACCCGCTTCACCGGTCAAAGACGAATCAGACCAAATGGAACCGAAAGACCCAGACCCCTATCTAAGTGTCGACATGGAAAATCTACGAAACCGTCGGCGAGGATCCCTCGCTCCTCCAACACCACCCCCGACCGAAGCTCCTGGTACTCC